ACTGTCTTTTTCTCCTTTAGGAACCAGTGAAGCCAGAGGAGGGCAGGGATATGGCCAACAGGATTAGTGCTTTTGGCTACCTGGAATGTTCTGCCAAAACAAAGGATGGAGTGCGGGAAGTGTTTGAGATGGCTACTCGAGCTGCCCTACAAGCCAAACGTGGGCGCAAGAAGACCTCATGCCAACTGCTCTAATTTCTCCCCTGCCTGCCTTCCCTGCCTGCCAGCCAAGTCATTGAGCTGTTAGCTTCCAGGCTTGCCTCCCCTCTGATACTGTGCTGAAGGCAGGACTGGCATGTCTCTTCAGAGGGGGAACCTGCTAGAGCTGGGCAGGGGTTCTTCTGGAGCATGGCAACTAACTATGGAGATGGGCTTCTCAATCTGTCCCAGGCTGTTCCCATCACTGTGCAGGGGTGGCATTTTCCCCTTCCATTACAAAAGTCTGATCTTTCCACATAAGGTCAGAAGGTGCTGGCCTTTGATGGGTCAGTGGGAAAGCTCCTTGTCCTTCTATGCCTGCTTGCTCACAGCAGTCTTGCCTCTTCTGTTAGTAGCCCATGGCACTACATTGTTCTTGGCAATTCTTTTAGAGAAGACTTTCTGCAAAGTGTGAAAGTTTCTTGCTTTAGTAATTTGAACATCCAGTCCCATGGAGTTTTCCCTAGCTCAGAAAGGACTATTGATTTGTGAAACAAGTCATTCACTTTGGGAGGTAGGAAATAGAATGTAGTCCTCCAGCACAGCGGGCAACAGTTCACTTAGCACCTCCTACTTTGGCAGACACATCAATCCCTTAGCTGCCTTTTCTGCTGTTCAGGATGTAGCAGGCTCACTTTGGACCATGTCCCCTTCCTCAAGGCAAACATAGACCAATTAAAAAGCCATCTAATTTAAAATTTTGAGGACTGCCTTACTAAAATGGCAGAGGCTCCTCTACCTTTTCCTTCTATCCTGTACCCTGAATAAGATTTTCTTGAATCAAATATTTAATCTCCTGTCAGCAGAGCAGGGAGCTCCTTCCTTCAGTCTGCTCAGGAGATTGGGTCTTACAGCTTGGCCCCTTCTTAACAGCGTATCTACATTTGTAAGCAGAGGTGCTATGGGCCAGCTTTTTGGACCTCCTGTGACTGAAATAGTCACTGCCGCAGCTCCCAAGTGCAAAGGACCTACTCTGTTGCTTCTGTCTCTTTGCTCTCTTTCACTCCTGCTGCTGCCTCCTCTCTTCCCTCCCCATTTGTACTCACTGCGTTGCCACTGGGGTGTATGATTTTTGTGTTTAATTTGTATTCACATGTTTAAAAAGTGGTTGTTACTTTTCAAAATGTACTTGAAAGACAAATCTGTAATAAATTTGTAGCGATGTTTAGTATAGGAGGGGTTCTGCTTCTTGCCTCTTTACACATCTCCTGTTGGAAGGGAGCCCTTTGCTCTGTGGCCAGTAAAGATGAATGTCGGTAGGGCAGGGTCTCAGGATAGTTCTCACTAGAGCATATATTTCAAGAAAATCGAGTGACAGACACGTTGCATTTAGAGTAATTTATGTCCACCATGAGGACAGTTAAAGAGTGTTTCTTATCCCTGCTGTTAAGAAATGGGGTGAATACTCTAAAAATGACATACTGTTAGGAATACAATGGAAAGAAGATGATCCAATAGGAAACACAATTTGTCATGGATCTTGGCCACAAGCAAGCCTGATAACACCTTACTTTCCTGAGACCATATCATTCCAGTAATACACACAAAAGCACCTACCTGTTCCACTTCAAGTGAATATGGGTAAAGGGAGGCAAACTAAAGAAAGGCATGGTTTCATGGTCAGATTTTAAATGGCTGGATTCTTAGTACTCCCATCTGTAATTTGGAACATTTTACTCACTAGAAACCACTAGTTAGTCATAAAGGAAATAATGGAAATGGTTAACAGCACTATGCTGTTGGGTAACTGGGATGTTCTGAGTTTGTTATTAAGTACCCATTAGTTCTGCCTCAGCCATTTGTTCTCAATCTACATACACCTTCCCCAAGTACTGGCCTTGTTAAAGAGAATTTGGCTCAAGGGAAGGCAGATTTTTGTGCTACTTGATTGTTGCTTGTAAATGAGTGCTGCTGTCCAACAGGAGAAGCTGTTCCCCAACAACTTACCTCTGCTGTTGCTATTTGACAGTGAGGCACCATGGAGCATTTTTTCAAGTAAAGTATCAACAGTACTGCAACTTTGCAGAAATTCCACTTCCTTGGTTGTGCATTGGCAAAGGGTTTTGCAATTCTGAGAAATCTTGCTTCATTAAAAGCTGGAAATCATTGAGTTTCTCCTACATGAAGCACATCTGTCCACTTTGTAATTGGAAGGCCCAGATCAAGTCTTCAGCTTACATGATAGCCAGATAAGACAGCCAAAGACCATGTTAGCTGGATCATTCTGGAAGGCACAGCATGGGGCACCTGCAGGATGGCAAGTTGGGGATGGCTCACCTAGATGCTTATTTATGAAAGAAGTTAAGTGGCTGAATGAATGTTTTGGGTTTAGAAAACCCATGCCTTTTACTGTGCGTCGTGCGGAGGAAAGAACTGAAGCTACTAACAGTTGCCACTGATGGAGAATGTAATTTTCTACCTTAAGGCAGTCAAGTGGGAAGACTTTATATGCAGCATAGGAGCCTTTCCCATGCTTAGTTAGGATTAATGGGGTTGTGAAACCTGCTGTATAGGCTGAGCGTAGTTTAGGATGCACCTTCCATTTTCTAGCCAGGCACTAGTCCCTTTGCATTTCAGGAAAACAGTGGCAAGATAAATTCTATTAAAATTGACCAATTTGGATTACTAGGGGTTTCAATAATTCTAAAAAGCACAATTATATAATGGGAAAGTGTTCAGCATGATAGCTTTTTCTAACTGGGAAATTTGTGTAAAAACACTAATGCAACTTTTAACTTAGCGTGCATGGATCTTCTCTCAAATGACCACTATATCAAAGCAGAAATGTGCTATGTAATGGCTAATAAAACTGAGATGTGGATCTAAAACATGATAGCACTAGTGTTGCTTCTAAAAGTGAGCTGGAAGGCAGGATATTCCTCACTGAAACCTCGCTTCTCCCATCAACTAGCAACTCTTTCACAGCATGTTGCTTTTGGAGGTATTTTTTATGTTCTCAGGTTGGAGCCACATTCTGATTTCCTCTCTACAGCACAGCTGTAAAGATTACTTCAGCTAGATGATACGACTGCCAGGTAATCATGCTAGATACTTTTGCTCCTTATCTTCAAAATCTGGTTCCCTACCACTTACTGTTCTACTTACCAAATTATCGTGCTAGTGTTTGTGGATATTTAATCCCCTTATTGCTCTGCCTAGATTTTTTCAATTGTTAATTTAAAATGTCTTTGCCTGTCATTTGTTCCACACAGTGCATCCATTTTGGAGATAAACTAATTTATCTTCCATATATACTTCCATATATACCTCCATATAAATTTATATTCATCTCCCTTTCATATATACAGTAATACCTCGGTTCACAAACGCTTCTGTTCACGAACAGTTCGGTTCGCGAACAGCAGCGTTTGCAAATTTTGCTTCCATTCGCGAACTCCGCATCTGGTGACGAACACGACCTGCGGCCATCTTCCCTGCTCTGACACGTGGTCGTGGCTTCCTCTAGGCGAGAGCGCGGTTGCAGACAGACA